ACTGTTGACGATATAAATCCTGCATTGCCTTAAGGACCCTATACTCAGGGAATTATGGTATATTCCTTGTGCAGGATTTATCTCATCCACCGTAGAGGGTGGGTTACAGCCTCCTAGTTGGAGGGGGATTTTGGGCTGCGGGCTAAGCCCTCCACTCCTTGACCTTACAGCCTTTAGCCCCAAACGCATTAAACCCTTAACTCATACAAATGCAGGCCCCCCCCAACCTGAAGATGGCACAAACACGTGAACAACCGAAAGCCAAAAGCATGTTCCAGACGCAACACGAGCAAGCCCATTTTTTGCGTTTCAATTCCTAGAGCCCGCGAAACAATGCAACACAGAACCAAGCACGCACATCTTCAGCAGCAACCTCTAGACTCTAGACCGTCAACAAAGAGCCCTGAAAAAGCAAACTCCCTATAGTAATCTTAGGGGAGTCCGCAGCATGAAACTTTTTCAACCCAAAAGAAGCCCCGTGCAACCCGATAAGCCCTTAAGAGAAACCCTGTGAAAGCACCGAGCTACAGAAAAACCCAAAAGCCCCTAAACAAACCCTAAACCCTAAACCCTAAACCCAAAAGCCCCTAAACCCTAAACCCTAAACCCAACAGCTCCCCGAGGCCGATCCCCTGGACCCCGCACTCCTGGATCGCTTCGCCGTGCAGCTGCGGCTAGAGGGCGCTCTCCGATCCCCGGTTCAAGGAAATGTGTTTTGGTTTAGGGTTTAGGGTTTCGGGTTTCGGGTTTAGGGTTTAGGGTTTAGGGTTTAGGTCATGGCTTGCTGAGAGATCCCGCAGATCCCTATCACAAGTTTGTGGCGTAAGGAATATGATGCCCACCCGAAATGGCCCGCAACTAAGTCGGCAAGCAGTGGAAGGAGGCTGGCCAGATCATGGGCCTGGCCCTCAGCGTGATAAGAACTTGAGAGTGAGCAAGGGTACAGTTCCATCGTTCACACTTACCACTGTTTTGCACGCCTTGTGTGCAGTTATGGTTTAGTACAGCCCCAAACCCTGCCGTACTCATCTAGTGCAGCCCCAAGACTCCCAGAGCCTTAATTCTCTAAGCCTTAACCCGCTACATGGGTAGTTCTCTACATTAGGGTCCCTTTCAGGGTCGTTATTATAAGGGTGCCGTACTATTTTTGGGACCCAAAAAGGGACCCTACTCTAGAGAACTACCCACATGATGCCTTTGCTCCTGCTGACGGTTCCGTGTTGGAGCGGTCGGGAGCTCAGGTTTGGTGGTACTAAGCTAAATTATTAACACTTCTTTTGGGGGTTCCTTAGTATTAGGGCCCCTACATTACTGTTGCAAGGCTTCGAATCACTGGGAGCAACATTTTAGATTTTAGAGCCGGAGGTTCAGCGCGTAAGTTCGTGACATGATGTAGACAATTTCGGTGCCTAGAGCACAGCAAAAGCCGAGTTCGATTGTTTAGGCTCGGCCAGCCCTGCGTTTCAAAAGCAGAAAAAGGCAAGGAAGCCTGTGCAAACCAGCGCCGCCAGCCTGTGCTGGTAAGCCCCCGAATACTTGAGACGCAATCACAGGCCCAAACTGAAACAGGGGACCCTAATATAGTACCCTAAATAATAGGATCCTTACTATAAGGACCCCAAAATAGGGTACCCTAATCCTACTATTTTAGGGTACTATATTAAACCCTAAACCCTAAACCCTAAACCCTAAACCCTAAACCCTAAACTCTAAACCCTAAACCCTAAACCCTAAACCCTAAACCCCTATTTTTCGGAAACACCCCCTGATATGGCGATTTTGGAAGGTTTGGAGGCCACTGAACCCCGGAAGCGGATGCTTCTTCCGGCTTTGCAAGGCAGCCCTTCTGTCAGGAATTTCAGGGTTCAGGGGGTTT